AGATGCTTAACCTACTGAGCCACCCAGGGGCTTCTGGGCTTAAGTGAGAAATATTTGAATTAAAGGTAATAAATTTATGAAAGGTAATGAAATATTTTAGAAATATTTTAATATACTGCTACTATTTATACCATATTATTGCTCCAGGACTACAAATACATTCTGCAAATGTGTTTACTATAATGAAATGTTTAATCTGAGTATTGTGAATGAGCTGTAATAGGCAGTCAGATTCTTCTAGTTGGCTCAGGGTTAAGTGGTAGAATGTAACTTTTATTTATATTTGAGGGAATTTTTCCCCCAAAATTTATTTTTCACTTATCTGACTTCTACCTTTCCATTTTTTTTAAGTTCATTTATTTTGAGAGAGAGAGAGAGCAAGTTGGGAGGGGCAGGGAGGGAGAGAGAGAGAGAGAGAGAGAGAGAGAGAGAGAGAGAGAGAGAATGAATCCCAAGCAGGCGCCGTGCTGTCAGCGCAGAGCCCAGTGCGGGGCTCAAACTCACGAACCATGAGATCATGACCTGAGCCGAAATCAAGAGTCAGACGCTTAACCAGCTGAGCCCCGTCTTTCCATTTTTAAACATATTTTCCTCTAGGTTTCATCAGTTTTACTTGCTATTTTTTATTTTCACATGATTTCAGAATTCCAGAACAGTTGAAAGAATAGTGAAGAGAGTCCCTTTATACTCTTCACACATATTCTCCACATATTAACATGTTGCCACATTTGCTTTATCTCTGTTTATGTGGAAACATGTGCTCACATTCATTTACTTATTATTTTTTCTGAACCTTTTGAAAGTTAGTTACAGATATAATGTCCTTTTTCCAACATAAGTGTTTCATTGTATGTTCCAAAAAACAAGGATATTCTTTCAAATAATCACAGTACAAATTAGCAAAATCAGGAAACAATGTATAAAGAAACTGTGGAGCATCCATACAGTGATACTACTTGACAGTAAAAAGGAAAGAACTACTGGTCTGTTCAACAAGAGTGAATCTCAGATGTATTAAGCCAAGTGGGTAAAGGCTCAAAAAATTACATAGTATATGGTTCCATTTTGTGATATTTGGAAAAGATAAAATTATTGAGAAAAAAAATCTGTGATTACTAGAGAAAGGGGCTCACTGGATAAGGGCAGTGCAAGAGAATTTGGGAAATGATACATCTTGAGTGCGGTGGTAGTTACATAACGGTATGTTTTTTGTCAAACTCGTATAACTAAACACCAAAACAAGTGAATTTTTCTGTATGTAAATTTTAAAAGTGAGGAAACAATCAGGCAATTAACACCAATACAATGTTATTAGCTCATCTGTAGACCTTATTCAAATTTTTCTAATTGTTCCAATAATGTTTTTTTATACCATTATGTCACAATACTCAGTACTTAACCATCAAAATCAAATGCAGTAGAGGGGTCAGGAGGAAGAAAATCGTGGGTGTGGTCTAGATAGGCACTACACATTCTGTTAGATGCAGATCACTGTTGTCACTATATAAGTCTGTACAGAGGAGTTTACCATCAATTTTACCCCCACCCCAGTGATCTCAGAGCACAAGTTGCATTCAGTTGTCATGTCTCTTTAGTTTCCTTTCACCTGAAACAGATCCTTAGTCTTTCTTTGTATTTCATGACTGTGACATTTTTTGTTAGTACAATACTAGTAATTTTAAAAAATTACTCAATCCCTCAATTTGGGTTAGTCTGATATTTTCTGTGATCAGATTGAGCTCAGATATTTTTGGCAAGGTTACCTCAGAAGTAATAATGTGTTCTTCTCAGTACATCATATCAAGAGGCACATAATGTTAAGGTAGTGTCTATCAGATCTCTCTACTGTGAGGTAGAGATAAATAAATCAGATTAAGAGAGTCAGGAGGAAGAAAATTGTGGATATGGGCTAGATAGTTGCCGCTCATTAGGTTCACGTTACTGTTTTCACAATGTAATTTAGTATATAGAGAGTTTACCATCAATTTTGTTTCCCTTCCTGTACGTATACAGTAAAAATGTGCTTTATGGTGACTTTACTATAATAAACTTTGACCAAAACATAACTAGGCTTCCAGTTTATTATGATGACATTTTTACAAAACATAATTAACGTTCAAATATAGGAATTTACATTGAATTAAACCAGTTTTGATTATAAATGGTACTTCATTTAAGGGAGGGTGGAACTTCATGGTCTGGGGAATAGTTACTTGCAAATTGTAAGTTTATAATTGAATACTGCCTTAAGTTTGTATTCTGTAAAACATTTAATTTTTTAATTTTAGCATTTAAAACTTTGATTTATACTTTATTTTTTATTTTGTTTAACGTTTATTTATTTACTTTGTGAAAGAGAGAGAGAGAACAAGAGCTGGGGAGGGGCAGAGAGGGAGAGAGAATATCCCAAGCAGGCTCTGCACTGTCAGCACAGAGCCCGACACAGGGCTCAACCACACAAACCATGAATCATGACCTGAGCCAAAACCAAGAGTCAGACACTTAACTGACTAAGCCACCTAGGCTCCCCTATACTTTCTTTTTTTTTTTTTAAAAAGTTAAATACTCAAGTTGATCTTACGGGTTTAATGTTGGCCTTTCCCCTCCTTTGCTTATCTTACAGTGGCATACATTGCTAGTTTCCTTGTTTGGAATGCTTTATAGTCATTAATTCAGCTTTATCTCTCTGTTTTGTAGGTAGACTAAATTACTTTTTTTTCAAAATGGGGAGAAAAAACAGAATTCTGAAGTTATTGAGTCTCTCTGTCCCTTGCTTATAGCAAAGCATATTTTTTTCTTTTTTGTCTTAATTTTAGGGACCATTACCTTCAAGTGGTCATCACAAATATAAAATATCAGGTTAAATCTCATAAGAGATTTCTGCCCAAAAGGAACACCTTACAGTAGTAGTCTGTCACCCAACTACAGGTCATGCACAGGGCCCACAGATTGTAGCCACAGAGGTGCAAAGGCCCTAAAATGACACTATATATATGCTGCTTGTCCTTTAATATATTTTAAAATACAATATTTGATACAAACCAAAAAAGGTACACCTAAGTTTAAAGTACAGTTATGATCCTATACTCTACTAATTACTTCATACTTATATGAAAATTTTCAGATCAACTCATGTTTGGAAACAATTCCTGGATCTAAAAATAAAGTAGCTCCCCAGTTAGACTGTGTTGGATATATGTAATGAGTATTTTAAACTTGCAAATATTAAAATATTAACACTATAAAGGTAGTTGTGGAAAATAGTACCCAAAAATATGTATTCGGAGTTTCTGTATTTTCCCTTGCAGATAGTGACTTACATGTGTTGATTACCAGATTTTTTTTCTATTATTTTGTATTGTGGTAAAAATATATAACAAAATTAATCATCTTAACCATTTTTTAGTGGTGTTAAATACACTCATAATGTTTTGCAACCATCACCCCCATCTGTCTCCATAATTCTCCATCTTGTAAAACTGAAATTCTATACCCATTAAACAATAATTCCCCATTCCCCCCTTCTCCCAGTCCCTGGCAATCACCATCCGCTTTCTGTATGATTTTGACTACTCTGAGTATCTCATATATGTGGAATCATACAGTGTTTATCTTTCTGTGACTGACTTATGTCACTTAGCATAATGTTCTCAAGGTTTGTCCATGTTGTAGCCTGTATCATTTTCCTTCCTTTTTGAGGCTGAACCCTGTTCCTTTGATGTATACACCACATTTTATTTATCCCTTCCATCAGTCAGTGGACACTTGGATTGCTTCCACCTTTTAGCTATTGTGGGTAATGCTGCTATGAACATGAATGTGCACATACCTCCTTGAGACTCTGCTTTCTACTCTTTTGAGTATATACCAGAAGTGGAATTGCTGGATCATATGATAATTCTATTTTTAATTTTTGAGGAACCACCATACTGTTTTCCATAGCAGCTGTTTCTACATTCATACTAACAGTGCATAAGAGTTCCAATTTCTCAGCAACCTTGCCAATATATATTTTGGTTTTTGTCTGTTTTTTATAGTCGCCTTCTTGATGAATGTGATGTGGTATCTACTTACACTTTTTGATTTACATTCTGAAATATGATTAGTGATGTTGGTCATCTTTTTATGTGCTGATTGGCCGTTTGTACCTTCTTTAGAGAAATGTCTAGCCAAGTCCTTTGTGCATTTTTGAATTGGGTTGTTTGGGGTTTTTTGTTTGGTTAGTTGACAACTTCTTTACATATTCTAGATATTAGTCCTTTATCAGATACATGATTTGCAAATATTTTCTCCCATTCTGTGTGTTGCTGCTTTATAATTCTGTTGATATTTAGAATTCTGAACTTGCTTTCAATTGGATTGTTGTTTTTCCTCCTCTTCTTAAGTATTTAAAAATCCCATTGACATTTATGGCCTCCTAGCTGCTATTTGAGATGATAGTGGCAAGAATGGACTCTAATCCTAAAGCATTGATGAAATGATGTTGTTTTGAGCTAAGTACTATGTTATTTTTAATAAAAGAAAATCAAATCTGAGAAGAAGAAGAAGAGAAAGAACTCTTTTTTTAGGATCCATACTTTGAGAATTTGTAGTGACCAAACATTTAGTATAGTTCAAAACTAATTATTTAAAGAGAAGGTAATAATCATGCTTTAAGTTGTTATCAGCTAAGCATAAACTGGAACTTTCTCATGTCCAGTGCCCACCTGCATTTTCAAAGAGCAATAAACTAGATATCTGATGAATGTGATCTGCTGGGCAGTGCTTAAATATAAATGAAATACTTTCCACCTACGTCCCTACTTACATTTATTTATATACATGGGCATATGTTTTCCTTTACATAAGTGTATGTCTATGTGTATATAAATCTTCAAGTGAATAAATGCATAAATATACATGGTATTCTAGCTTACAGAATTAGAAATGTAATTCAGTTACCCCCACAGAATAAGATTGAAGATAATGAGAACTGAATTAAAGCTTACTTTCTTTCACAGAATTCCTCAGAGAGAGAAGACTGTAATAATGGCGAACCCCCTAGGAAGATAATACCAGAGAAGAATTCACTTAGACAGGTATGAAATTCAGTCTGTCTTAAAGTAAAAAGCTACCAACAACAAAACAAAAGACAGGAAACCCTCAATTTGCCATTCATTAAGCATTAGAGCTTAAATTAAGAGTACTTTGAAGTTGGTCTGGCTATAGCCATCAATTTCAATCAGGTAACATTGTTTTCCCAATCATTTAAAAATATCCTAGGTGTACAAGTACAGGACAGATCGATTGCTTACGTGTAGTGAAAACAACATCAAATAAAAGTTTTCTTATTCAGGAAAAATAACTTGAATTGCTTCTTAAGTGCAGATAGTAGAATAGTTGGCTTTAAATCTTACTTTCCTACTGAGATTCTTAATACAGTAAAAAAAAATTAACAATCAAAAGGGATCTGCCTCTAGAGAAGTTAGCTCCTTTTAGTCTGAGCGATATTTGCCTTTTCTAAAAGTAAAGACTGTTATTGATAACCTAAAAAAATTTACTGCTTACTGTGTTCCCAATCCCCAAAGGTAACACATTTTACTTTGAAAGTTAATTCCTTGGTGCTCTCTTTTTTAAAATTAAAATGTCCTGGGCCACTTGGGTGACCAACTTCAGCTCAGGTCACGATCTCACAGTTGGTGAGTTTGAGCCCCTCATCAGGCTCTCTGCTGACACCTCAGAGCCTGGAGTCTGCGTCAGATTCTGTGTCTCCCTCTCTCTCTCTCTCTCTGCCCCTCCCCTGCTTGCACTCTGTCAGTCTCTGAATCTCAAAAGTAAATAAACGTTAAAAAAAACTTTTTTGGGGGTTAAAATGTCCAAAAACATTTCATCAAAAAATTTCTTCTTCTCACTGCCTGTAGCAACAACCTCTAACATCTTCTGTCTCCCACTAGCAACAAAAACAAGTTCTTACAGTGTTGCCAGAGAATAGGCATACCACCTATTAACTTTTAATATATAGTTGGATAAGATGAGAACGAGCAGTAGTAAAAATAATTTTAATTTACTCGCATTATGGCATTATTCTAGGAAAAAGGAGAACAGGTCTAATATTTGTTGAGTGCCCACCATAACCCTGCTACTTGTTTCATTCCATCCTCACAATCCCCCTGCAAAGTTTCTAGATAGGGTCTCTGATTTATAGATGAAGAAAATGGAGGCTTAGAGAGACTAGAGGACTTGCTTATTATTAGCCAGTCAGTGAGTTAAAACCGAGATCTCCATGTTGCCCAAGTGTTTCTACTTCTGCCTTCTTATTCCGGTTTGTATAGTGTTTGGGTTTTGTTAATGTTTATTTTAGTTTTGAGAGTGAGAGAACACGAGCGAGCATGAGCAGGGGAGGGGCAGAGAGAGAGGGAGACACAGAATCTGAAGCAGGTTCCAGACTCTGAACTGTCAGCACGGAGCCCGACACGGGGCTCGAGACCACAAACTCTGAGATCGTGACCTGAGCCGAAGTCAGACGCTTAACCAACTGAGCCACGCAGGTGCCCCTGTATACAGTGTTAATTTCGGGAGAAAGTACTTGAAACTGTGATATGTCCATTTTTTTATTTACTTTCTGTTAAAAATTTGGGGATGGGCACTTTCGTTTTTTGTAAAAATTATTGTCTAGTAAGTAGAATTGAATCCATTCAGGAAGCTTTGTAAAAAACCCAAATGATCAGTGATTGGTATTGTGCAGTTACAACTTTAACTATTTGGAGACAAACACCTGATCTATAAATCTAAATAAATAGAACAGTATTGAGTAAGATAAATTTAGAGGTGGAAGCGGTCTGCCCACTATTCAGAAACAACTGTCAGAAAACAATGACACAACAAAAAGTTTTGGCAACTTTATTTAAGCTAACAAACGAATTTTCACTCTGCAAAGTTATAAATTAATTTTAATAGGCTGATCCAGATGGTCCATTTGGAAAATGGATAGGCTGATCTGTTGAAAATTAAACTAAATTTATCTCTCTCATACTTCAAACTGAAGCAAGAGAGAGAATCGTGCCTATTAAGTCCAGCACATACAGATGGACCAGCAGGTCACACATGGGACTAATCTGATTCATTTTAAAAATAAATGCATACATTATTGAATCATTTTCTACTTGCAAGATCTGTCGTGTGCAATATTTGAAAGAGATTTGATGTGGCTTTTTCATTGCTTTTTAGCAGGTTTGCTTCACCCTCTCCACTCTAATATAACAACTGTCTTGTTTTTGTTTTTGTTTTTCCTCCTATTGCTCCACAATGGTTTTTCTAATATCTGCCATTCAGTGTTGAGATCCAAGCTCTGGAGATTAATTAGGTCATGAGGTTTTTTTTTCCCCCTCCTCTCTTTGTAAAGGGTTTTTTCTCTATTCTCTTTATGAAGAGCATGAACTCAGTGTTCTTGGAAAGAGAAATGGCCTTTAGAAACTGGGAAGTAGGAGATCCTCTTGGGGCCCTCTGAATCTTTTAGCTTCTGGGTGTTTTAACAGCCCCATGAATGCAGATTTGTAAATTTATTGCAGTGCCATCTGGTTTTTTGCTCGAACCAGATTACTGTTGGCTTGTGTCTGTCTATTGTGGTGGTCACTCCCTAGGAGCTTGCCCTCTCAATCTTAGGGAAGAGTGATGAATAGCAGGGGTCAATAGAAGCGGGTCACAGGGCAGCTGTCCGGGACTGCCCTGAACTTGATTACCCCACTGCTGATTTTTTTAATGTAGGACATAATATATAAGCTGTTTAAACTCCCCCTTTTCTCTGTTGCATGACAATAATGAAGTGCCATTTGCTCCCCCTCCCCACTTTAGTCAAGCTATATAGATAAAAAGATGTCAAAGCTGCCTTTTCCCTAGTGTTGATGTAGGTAGGATTTGCATCATCTAGGCCAATCCCTTGAGATTCTTTTACAGATATTTCTAATGGGATTTCAGGAACTCTTTCACTTTTTATTTTTAAATGCTTGGTTACATAGTAGTGTTTTAAACTGATTTTATAGTTTACATATATTGTTCTAAAGTACAGTTTCACAGGTGTTGATAGACTGTGACTACTGTGTGGTAACTTTGAGTTACTTAATCACTGGAGGAGCTAAAAGAAAGGTTATCACTACAATTCTTACAGACATTTAAAGGATAATGAGGGAATATTATAAACAACTTTAAACCACAGCTTTGGCAACTTAGATGAAATGGACTAATTCCTTGAAAAATAAAACTTACAGAAACCAATGCAAGGTGAAACCAAATTTGAATAGCCTGATGTCTCTTAAAGAAATCAGATTATCAAAAGGCCCCCATATGGTTTCACTGGTGAATTCTATGAAATATTGCAGAATAAATAACCCACTCCTGTGCAAACTCAGAAAATAGAGAAGGCAGGAACACTTCCGGACTTGTATTCTGAGGCCACCATTACCGTAATTCCAAAACCTAACAAAGACATTAGTAGAAAAAGAAAATACTGAGGGAGAAAGTCAGGAGACATTGGTCCCTGTGTCACTAAGCCATTTTGTATACCTGCTTTTCCATTCCATATCAAAAGGCAGGAAAGTTGGTGGGGAAAGAAAGGTAATGTATTCTTTTAATTTTCTAAATTTCAGAATAATCTCTTCTATCCACATTAAGTGAAGTGTGAACTTTTATTTAAAGAATGTACAAAGTGGCTACAATTTTCTTTCTACTTTTATTCCTAAAATGTGAAGTCAAAGAAACCATAGCAACTGTTTTCATAGCTTTTATTCATATCTGCAAACAAGGGCAAAGGCCTGGGAGGACACATGAAAGTACTCATTACTTTTTGAAAATGTAGCCTTACAACATGCAACTCCTTTGCTTCACATTGGTGCTAATAGGATCTGTCAGCCCTGCCTTTCTATGTAATTGAGTAAATTGTGACCTCTATCTAATCCTTCCCCCATCCCCCATTCCCTTTGTGTATGTGTCCACTTACCATCCTGAGAACGTGGGCAGTGATAAATAAAGCATTGAGTAGAACTCTCTCAACTCTTTGAAAGCAGCATGATGCCAGCCCTCTAGTTATATTTCTTTAAGTGTTTACGTTTTTCTGTATTCTTTCTCTTGTGTAGCTGGAACCCTGGGGATGCAAAGCCATGAGAGAGGCCAAGAAGCTAACAAAGTAGCTGTCTCCCTTGTTAGCTTGTTCCTTTATTCTTTAAAAACAAGATAAAAACCATCTGGCTCAGGGCATTACATTTTCCTCCCCCATGCACCTCTATAGATGGAGACTTCACCTGCAGTGAGGGTTTACATTGATTAGGGAGGGAGCAGTAATTCAAGCTTCCATCCTCTTCAAGGATACTTTGCAGTCTTTTAAAGGTGCTGACCCACTGAGTTAAACTGTCAAGGGAGGATAAAAAAGTATCTTCATCCCAGGAGGTAACAGCTGCCAGGTTTTCAACACCTTGCACGCTGCTGGAAAAATGTCACAATTGTCAGCTGAAAGAAAAATGACTGTGTTGTCATCTTCTGTTAATGACTGGGCCTTATAAAGGGAACTACATAAGCCTTTTGGAAGGAATAAGTAGCTGTTTTCCTTCCCTATCCCTGTGCCCCCAAATTCCTATGTTGTTCTGAACAGTACCTTGGAGTAGATCCATAAAACACAGCAGTAAAGATCTTAAACAGCCCCGTATAAGCATGGGGGTCTAACTGGCACAGCTCCTTTATACAGTTGGATGAGTAGGAGGAAAAAAGCACGTCACTGACACAGAAAATGACATTATATTGTGTATTAACAAAACAACAACAACAACAAAAAGTCATTCATAAGCCAGTGAACTGAGAGAAAACATACTGTATTTCTGCTCTTTGGAGGACAATTTGTTTTCAAGCAGCATCCAGATGGGTAAATACCACGACATTTCTTTTTTTCAAGAGAGCCACTTCTTTTCTTCCTTAAAAAAAAAAAACAAAACCAAAAAAAACCCTCACTGAATTTACTTCCTTTAATAGCTCTATAATGTTTGTATATGATGGCATTCCCTTCTTTCTGATTTGATTGATGAGGAGAGAAGGTTTAATGAAGTCCCAGATATTA